GGGGGGGGGGGGGGGGGGGGACAGGAATGACATGTAGAGGGGCAAAAAGTGACAACGCGTAATAATACACATTTTAAATTATCTGGATAAATTCAAATTGTGAATGTTAGAACATTTGCTGTTATAACCAAATATAATCAGTGACAGTGCATGTACAGCTACGTATTGTCAGTGACCCGAGTGTAATTCATGTTACAAGCACTTCAATTGAAAAGGTGACAAAGGGGGAGAATGCTGTGTATGTTTAAAGCAAGTGAGTATGGACATAAAATGGACAGACTGACTTGTGGAACTGGGTGAGGAAAGGGGGGGACGGGGGTGTATATAAACAGAATAAAACAGTCACTCTATTCTTATTTTTGATATTTTTTTTATTTTTCCTTTTTTGTCTTTTCCTTTTTAAAGAAAAAAACTGACTGTACAGAACTAAATCTATATGCCTATTCAGAGTTTTCCAACTCTACTCCTCTGTGATGGTAAAGAAAGAAAAAGGGAAGAGAGCGAGGGATCCATACAAAAAAAAATATCTAGTAACAAATTATTAAAACCTCCAACTCGACTCAAAAAGGGAATTAAAAACATAATTGTTTGCTTCTTTTGACTAAAACCAAAACAAAGAAAATAAATAATGAACTCAGCGGATCAAATCAGAGGCGGATGACATGATTTCAAAACGAGGAAGAGGTGGTATAATATATAAACTCTTAAGTTGGATAGTTGCATTGTTTTATGGTAGCCGATGATATAAAAGTGAGATTTAGTGCAGATGCAGTGTCTTATCAGTTGGCTGCCAGTCCTGTGGCCTCAGAGGAAAGCCTGGAGAAACAGACAAAGAGACACCCGGAGACCAGGGAGGGAGAGAAAATAAGGCATGCAATCAGACAGACAAGATAAATGTCATTTACTGTATGTTACATCATTATAATAAAATGCTAGATAATCTGGATTTATTACACAGGAAATGTATGCTCTGACATTTAAAAAAAAAAAAAAGATCATTAGTCTAGTTTGGCTGTTCCTCTTGTCAGTGATAACTCTTCTCAACCAACTGTTGGTAATTAATGGTTTGGTAATGGAGCTGTTTAAGAAATAGTCCAATATCTTAGGAAACAGGCTTATTTGCATTCTTGCCGCGAGGTAGAGGAGAAGCTGGTTTGCTGAGCTTACCATAAAGAATGGAAACAGGTGGGAATCACTAGCTGGGCTCTGTCCAAAAGTAACAAAATCTGACTCCCAGAACCTTGAAAAGCTCACTAATGAACACATTTGATCTAATTTGTTTAATCTGTACAACAGCCAAAAAATCTATAACTTCCTGCCGTCTCGTCGTGACTGTGAGGTTGCTAGGCAACCGGTGGAGACTCCAGAAAGTCACTTCTCCTGGCCAAGAAATAGTTTGACACATAACCCCTCTCTAAAACCACAACGTGCTGTTTTTACTATATATATAAAAAAAGTGTTGATTATTGATCTTCAGTGGTGCGTTTAGTTGGATTTCGTTACCTTTGGACAGACCAAGGATAGCTGTTTCCCCACACAGTTCCTGGTGAACTGGCTGCTGGCTCTAGCTTCAAATTTACTGAACAGACATGAGAGTGGTATCTTCTCATCTAACTCAACAAGAAAACAAATAAGCATTTCCCAAAATGTCAATCTATTCTTTTTAAATTAAACTAAATTGGTTAGATGTTTGATGTATTCTTCATATCAACAAAAGAATCAAAATAAAGGGTGCCTTTGATACCTGAGGGCAGATTTGGAAATTAAATTACAATTGCGTCGTACATATTAAGCAAAAATCCCAAAACAAAACTCATCATGATACATATATACTCTCCGTTATGACCGCTAACAATAGTCACTTAAAATTCCCTACAAGTAAACTATTCCCATAAATACAATGTGACATCTTAAAGAGAGCCGCTACCTGAGCAGAGCTTACACAAAAGAGAGAAATGCTTCAGTAAATCAGTGAAATAATTCACCGTCCATGCTAAGTTCAAAGTCATTTAAAAATATATTGCGCTCAACGTGTGATTTGTTTAAGAGACAGGCCAAATCAAGCTACAGATATCTATTTTATAAATATGCCAACAACCATCTGTCTGGCTGTGTAACACTTGTTTGTGTGCATTCGTTTTCTGTAGTAAGCATGGCGTGGCATAGCCAGATACAAAAGCAAGTGCAGGTACAGACAACAAAGAGCATTGTCAGTACTTAAGTAGTAGATGACTTATGTTTCCTTCGTTAGTAAGGGGAGAGCCTTCGTCTTTTAGACTTGGAGCTCAGCTCTGGGGCGATTTTGGGCTCAGTGGGGATTGGGTGTGCAGGGTTACTGGCACCGCTGACAACATGGAGGGCCAGGAGTGGGAGGGGCTTGAGACTGAGGAGACTTGACACACAGGCAGGAGAGCTGGGGAGCAGGGAATCAGTGGAGGAGGAAGAGGAGGAGGAAGAGGAAGGAGGAGGCGGCCCTGGAGCCAACAAGGACAGAGGGATGGAGGCTGAGGGGGGCACCACACAGGAGGAAGAAGAGGAGGAGGAGGAAGAGAAGGAGGAGGTAGCAGCAGAGGAGGTGGTGGTAGTAGTAGTAGTAGTAGTGGTAGTAGTAGTAGTAGTAGAGGTGGAGGGAGGGCACGGGCTGGTCTGTTCAGGGTTCAAGGAGGAGGAGGAGGGAGGAGGTTTAGAGGACTCTACACTGTAGAAAGAGAGACAAGGAGAGAGGGACAACACAGTCGGGATGGATCACAGGGCAGGCTGGTGAGCAATGGGTGTGGGGGAGGAATGGGGGGGTTGAGTTAGGCGTAGGACGAGGTGTGAGCGGGGGGTTGTGGGGGAATCACTCAGGGATGTGATCAAAACAAAAAAAAAAAAAAAGACAAAAGGTTTCATTAGAAATTAATGTGTCAATCCAAAAATAAAAAGAGAAAAAAAAATCATATCTCTAGTGACGGATCAATGTGGAGCAACTTAAAGGGAAAAACACAAGTGCAGACTGACAGAGTGCTAGCAACACCAAAGTGATGATTAGCAGCAGCCAAAAACACCATTAATCGAATCCTTTGAATTTGAACACAAATCCAAACTAGAAAGTCAATGCAGCAGGTAGGCACGTTTTTGCACTTATTTTTTTTTTTATGCATTACTGTAGTATTGTGAAATTAGTAAATTAGTTTTTCCTTTAATATTTATAGATTGAATCAAACTGAACTGACGCATAGAAATAATTTGACTTAAAGTGAAACGACATGTAGCATAGCTGATGCAATGTTTTGACCTTCTAAAGCCTGTGACTGGACGGATCACCTGTTGGCAGTTAATGTAGTACCGGGTTATCTCACCTTGCGTTGATGAGGTACTCCGCCAGACTGATGCTGGCAGGTGAGCCTGTGATGGTGACCTGGCGGTCAGTCGATCCATCCACTGGATTTGCAATCTTGATCTGGGCGCCTGACATTTGCCTGATCTCGTTGATCTTGGCTCCCTGGCGGCCGATGATGCACCCAATAAGCTGTAGTGGAAAAGAGCATCAAAGTTAAGTGATAGGAATTCTTCTTAGAGCCTGAATAACATATCGAACAAATGGCTCTGGGAAATTTGACGACATGGAATTAACAAGTTTATAAAAAAGCATTTTATGCATGAAAGGTGGTCATATACCACCGTCAAACAGCATCGTTAACAGTAAGGTGCAGGGTTTTTTTAGTTGAATGAATTGTGGATTAGAAAATATATCTCAACTTTACTATTGTAAGGGATAGAAATTGACTTTTTGAAGCACTTACATCATTTGGAATGGTCATCTCGTGGGAACTGGTTTGAGCTGAAGCGTCTATCCCTGGAAAACAAATGAACAAGAAAATGAAAAACCAACAATGATATAAATAACCAAAACAATATGTCAAAATGGGCATATCAATCATGCAATATAAAGTGTGTAGAACTTACTAATACAGAATGGCAAATGTTATTAATCATCAATTCAGAAAGTATTTGGGTTGGGTTTTTTTAGGCTTAATATGCTTTAAAAAATCCCCAAATTCCAACAGGCGAGTAAGATTTAACTTTGAATGTATCTTTGATCAAGTGATCAGGTACAGTAATATGACTGCACTACACAAAATTAACATTCAACTATACTGATTATGGGAATTAAAAGAACATTTGATATTTGTGATAGTACACTTATACAATATATACTGTAATTTTTTTCACTAGCACCAAGCTCTGTTTTTTTAGTCAATGTTTTTTTTTAATGTTTGAGGTACAAAACAACCTAGATGATTTTGTACATGTATTCAACACATCCTGATTTTTGAGGTTGGCAAAATTGCATTGATAGTTGCATTGAAAGCCAACGGGCCTCGTTGTGCTGCATACCAGTGAATCCCTGGTTGCTTGGTGCGATGGGGAAGGGGCTCTGCTGCATAGCCAACTGGTGAAGCTTGGTGAGCTGTGGAGAGATAGCAGCAGAGGAAGACTGTGAGAGTGAGAGAGGAGGCAGGGAGAGAAATGGAGGAAATGGAAAACACAGGAAGAGGGAAAAACAGAACAAAAACATCACAATCAGTACAGACAGCTACACAAAGAACCTCCGAAAACAAAACAAAGAAAAGACACACGTCACTCAGTGCTGTTGTGTGTAGATCTCTTATCCTTTCACAAAACTCATGGATACATGGATCACTGGTGTCTGACAGTGTGTTTTATGACTTGTCTATGTGGGGTACCCCATAGGTATTCCTCCAAAGTGCAGGCTGCATCTCTTGGTAATGCTTTCTTGCAGTCTTCAGGGTCAGGGCAAAGGCACAATACACAAGGGAGGGAGCTCTCAATATGCATTATGAATTAGCATCACCAGTTATCACCAATATAGCTCGAAGGGAAGATTTAAGGAAGTGATGACAGGTTTCTATGTCACTTTTATGACATAACAGATTACACTTTTAATATACAAAAACTGCTATACGCAGTTACAGTGTAATTACATGAACGTATTAACACTGCTTAATGGCCTTAAAAATGAATCCAAATTTAAACTTATGTTATCATGTTCTACATTATATCTGACTGGTACTTCCTGGCTCTGTTGCCAATATTCAGTTACACGCAAGACTAATAATGTGCAGTCTATCACATCCAATGCTCCTGATGGAACATCTAAACTCATTTAAAAGAGAGAGAGAAAGATTAATTAAGTTGAGAAACAAGCGGGCAGAGCATAAAGTAATAATGGAGGGTTAATGAAGAAGGGGGGGGAGAGAACCACATGTTTATCTGGGACAGCCTAATGAACGAGGCATGTAAAACAAGACAGAACAAAAAAAGGAAAAACAGAAAAGGGTGAGCAGCAGGAACAGATTATTATTCATGGAACAGTGGAGAGTCTGGACAAACACAAACAACAAATGTCAGTTTAATTAAAAACTGACTGCCAGTCAACTGAGAAACTGGACAAACATGAAAGACTAACAGTGCTGCTCTCTAAATGGTTACAAAATCTGATAATAGTAGGTCAAAATAAAATTAGGCCCAAGGTCAGCGACAGTTATAGGCTGTAAAATGAGGCGGGTGGGCGATTGCACATTTTGGAAGAGGACTGTAATTATGGGTGGGAGTGGTGGGGTCAGGTAAAAATGTCTACTGCACTTACATCTGGCTGTGGAATCGCGTGCTGTCCTTGTACGGCATATGCCTGAAACAAATGAAACAAAGCTTTCATAGGCCTCACATCTGATTTTGATTTTGGTCAAGTTACTTTTCCAGATATATCTCCAATATATAAATAGGTTTTGAAGACTCAAAAATTAAGAATATCAACATCTAAGTCTTGTCCAAAGTCTCCACATTTCTGGGGAAAGAGAAATCTTTAGATATACATTATAGTGGAATTATGGAAAACCAGAAGGAGGTTTTCTTTTCAAAGAATAATAAAAAATAAAACAAGTATTTAGTGAGACAAAAGATATTGTAATGTTAGGCCAACAAGCACCAGAAAGCATTTTGGTTCAGACCAACAATAGTGGGAAATATGCCACCACACTTCTGAAACCTAATGCTCGAAACAATGAAACAAATTCTGGGGAAATATACAAAGTCCTGTAACAAACTGCCTTGAGGGCAAATGTCCTATGGTCATCAGACTATTAAAGCTGTTCTCTAAACTTAAATACCCTCTACAGCAACCATCATATACAAGTACCAAATCTGGAATTGGAGATGTTTATCTTACTTTGAGTTATAGGTATATAAAGAGCCTTTCATCACACATCAAGATTTCCAAGCATACATCATTCTGCACAGACATGTATCACATAGTTATAAACGCTGAAACGACAGACAACTGAAGCAATAAATCCCCCCCACACACTAAAAAGCATCAAGAATGAAAAGGTGGGATCCCGTGTCCCTCTGTAGTATTATATGTACCTGTCCGCCTGCAAAGATGACGGGGGATCCTGAAGGCTTGGGTCGGTAGGGGATTGTGACCCCCTTAGGGGGAGACTGTACAGGAGAAAGAGCAAGTGGATGTGTAATTACATTACTCTGCATGTTATCATATCACCTTTGCCACATGTTAATAATGCTAGAATTAAGTTTTTAAAATACAAATGTAGTACACCACTGAACATAGCTCTATCAGGGGTGTCATGATTTAGTTCCTGTGGATCTGCTTGCGACATCTCTGGTCCAAACCCAACACACAGCAACCAAAAGCCCAGAGATCACACTATTTCACATCATTCATTTACAAGTCGACAGCTGCCACTTCATTTGGTCCATTGCTTTCATCCACTTACCTCAAGCATGACCACACAGATCTGCTTTACACACTCAATTATCGACTGGGGAGTGCCAGCGATGGTGATGGCTCGCTCCGTGGAGTTGGGGAGCATGTCTCCTGCCACTTGTACCTGAGCACCGGTTGACTGGAACACACAGAGTAAATGAGATAAGAATTCAAGACGTAATGTGTATCAGTGTTTAATGTACTAAATCCCACAGGTAGAAAGGTGATAGTCAGCTAATACTTAATAGATTGGTGCTTGCAAGGCTTAGTTTCATATGTTTGCTCTTCTCTATACATACCTCTCGAATTTCCTTGATCTTGCAGCCACCTTTCCCAATGAGAGAGCCACACTGGCTGGCAGGCACCACAATGCGTAGGGTCACTGGGGGCTTGCTGGTAGCTGTGCTGTTTGTCATTGAGCTGCTTATGTCCTGGGGAAAAAGTATGAAGACAAGGGTTAATCTAGTTTGTGTTTGAGGGGATTACTTCTAACCTGCAATCCATTAGTCAGTATAAATTGTGACCTACCTCTTCCAGCTTTTCAATGATCATGGAGAATGCTTTAAAGATGGCGGTGGTTGGACCTGCCAAAGTAATGATCCTCTCAGGACAATTGCCCTCAGAGATGTTGATGCGAGCCCCGCTCTACAGACAAAGAGAAAAGCAAGGAATTGAAAGATGAAATTTGGAAGACTTCCTATTGTAAAGACACGGTGGGTGCAGGCCTGCCAACTGTGGCTAACATTACATTCTGTTGTACTTTACCATAATTTGATTTAAAACATAAGAAACAACCTTACCTCTTCTCTCATCTTCTTCACAGATTCACCTTTCTATTAGCAGAGAATCACAAAGTCAGACACATTCCCACTTTAAACAGACAAAATCTCTAATGATGATGGGCAATAGGGTTGGGCGATTGGACTATTATATTTTATTTAGCTAATTTAATGGTCTGCCTCTGGAGAACGAGAGCCACTCTGTGAAAGACGTTCAATGCTGCAGTACGCACACTGAGCCGCTGAATGAGTGAGAGGAAGAGAGCTGAAGAGCCAGTGTATTTTCACAACTAACTTCAATGATTTAAGGGTTTATTTCGAATAGTTTGACAAAGGAACACAATTACAAGGAGATTCGCAGACGCTCCAAACAAGACTAACTCCGGGGAAGATGGGGACACAACAGGTACAGCCTGGGACAGCAGAGGGACGGCATGAGAGAGGAGAGAAGAGGCATATAGCGTGTAGAGAAGCAAGCGAGGTGGGGCATCAGAGGGGCAATGACAGCGCATACAGCCAGAATAGGACGCTTGCACAGCACACACAAATATATTGCTAATCGCCAACGGTGATTGGCAGTGTGACCGGTTGGAAAATTTTAACATATCGCCCAACCCTAATGGACAATCATAATTTTAGTTAAATTAAACTTACCTTTCCAATAATACTTCCAACTTCCTAAAAAATAAAAGAGATACAGATTCATTAGGTGGATTAATCATCTTTTTCCACCTGACATTTTCTTACTACCATAAAGTTGGACTCATCTAACATAGCAACAGCTTGTTATCAGACAATGACAAACCTTCAACAAATAAGGCCCTGGTTTCCTCACCACTTGGACAAAAAGAAAATTCACTGTAAGTAATCCTCCTACAGAAATTCCTCAATGCTTATGGTCACAAGATGCAATGAATTCTAATAGTTTTGCTCTCTTTCATCAGGTGCTAATCAAAATTGGCCAAAGGTCATTACAAATGGCCTTTAAACTGACATAAATACTCAAACAGCCTGATTGTACATATATACCACAGCTCTGTACCACAGGCTGTTTTTGTTTCTGTCTAATCCCACACAGACTCAAGATGGTGCTGTTGACCACGGTGAGATCCAGGATTCATTCCAGCACACAGCATGTGTAGGCTACTAATTCCTAGCTAGTGCTGGGGCCTGTTTTAGGATGCTACGAGCTACCAGAGCTTTTGGGGGGACCATTTTTTGTATGTCACAGTTTGGTATGTCCGCAGTGTAAGCTGACCTGTCAGTGTCAGATTTTGAGCAGCCGCTTCTTGCCAAATGGCATCTCAGCATTTGAGATCACAAAAAAAACAAAAGGCCACTGAGGGAGTCAAGATGCAACAAGTGTGTGCCTATTCTGCTGTCGTGAAAGCCAGATGGATTAGTGACGGCAAATGCAATGTCATGCCTCCTGGTTGTAAAAATGTACCAAGTGATGGAGACGTCAAAATGGCTGTCTGTAATATTGTTTGATTTTTAAGCTGCTCTGACCATTTGGACAGGGGAGGGAGATGTCTCCACAATTTTGATATATATAATTTTGGTATAAAGGCTATAACTGCTTATTTGAGAGGATGATAATTGTAACTCTACTCTCAAGAAAACAGCCCATTAATTCTGAAATAACTAAAGAGTAGCAAGGAGATACATATATACCGTAGTAAGTCCAAGTTGGAAAATACATTTAGACTCAAACAAAGGAACATGCCAAAACAATTGATACCGGATCCAGTCACTGAGTCAATAACCTTACTCATCACAACAGTCACTGCCCTTTATACATCCCAGAGGAACTCCATTTCCATAAATATAATGCCATAGACTATAAGAGTGCACACACAGGGAGCTGATGGGTGACCTCACCTTGCCATGCATGAGGAGTCTAATGGTAAGGGTGACATTGAGCCCTCCTTCAATCACACCGGAGTCCATAACTGCAACCTAGTCGTTCGTACAGAACTGGGGTCTTTGGTCACCGAGATGGATCTAAAAAGGACATGAAGACAAAGCAGATAAGAAATTATACACCAATGATGATCATGTGACGAGATTGAATTGCAACTGTGTAGGAAAAACAACAGATAACATGGCTGCAGATGAGGGATAACAAAAGTAAGACGTGGTGTGCCTCCATTTCCATGTGTAAAAGGGTCAACAAAGCAGTAAATACTATACATCTCTCTTTAGCATTAAGTCACAGCACCATTCCCACCCATGGTGAGATAATTGGACACTTAAAGCTATTTACATCCTTGGCTAATACACCATTTTGATGACATAATTCTCAAGAATAGCTGATTCTGCCTATTCTTCAGCATACAGATATATGGACACTGATCAAATCGTCCCCGGATGCCATTTACCCAGTTTTACTATTGTTAATTATATGTCAGACAAAAACATTCAGTTAAAAATCACATCCTTGGACTAAACGCGTGATGTTGGATGATACATTTGTAAATGGATGATGGTTATACTTTGGCAAATCACCTCTTCTGACATAAAAACGAACCTATTTTTAAAAAAAAAGAAGATGATAAATCTTGTGGCATAGCTTCAGCTAGCGTTAATGCTTATGAAAAGTAATGCGTACTACGATGGATCATTTAAAAAAAAAAAAATGGCTTAGTCTCACTCTCACTGTGCCAACTACATGCTGCTAGTGGCGTGCGTTTATTTCCAAACACCTGAATGCTGCTGCGACCCAAACTTATCTCACTTCTAGCAAGTAAATCAGCATTAAACGCAAAACATAGTGAAATGCAACGCTAACGATGACTTCACCATTAGCTATGAAATCAAGTTTGTCAACAAATGTGCGTACAGTTACTCCACAATCACCACAGTTGGGACACACATCACGTAAATACACTCGTGTGTGTTCGGTGTGAAAAGCAAGCATTGAACCGCTTACTTCACTTGCGTTGTTTGGTTTTAGAGTCAAGTCCATTTAACTATTAACGCTTGTTGTAAGTATGTTAGCCACTTAGCATCTCGGTCGCTCACCCTGCTGGGGGAAAATGAATGAAGCATGCGTGCGCTACTTAGCAAAGCTAGCTGGTTAGCTTATCAGTCAGCGTTATTAATAGCCGACCAAATATCGGCAGCCTTCCTAGCATGGGGGTCAGGTTATCGTTTGTTCAATTACACGCGCTTAAACTACAGACAGGTGTTTTCTTGAGGCGACGTTGAGGTGAAACTTCCCCGGGGCTAACGTTAGCTCCGTGCGGAGACTGCGTGCTCATCTTCGTGAGGCCTTGTTAGCACGCCGGACAGACAGCCGCTAGCTGCTGCTGGGCGCGATTTCTTTCTGCTACTTCTGATCATAACCAAAAAAAGCATAAAAACACCAAACGTGGGATTAAAACTCACCTGATTCGTGTGCTGGTAGGTGATCGGGGGGAGGGTTGGGGTTGTAAGGGTAGAAGGGGAGAGGTTCGGGAGGGTAGAAACCCGGGGGAGAGTTTAGAAAGGACTCGGGGAGAGGGAAGAGTGATGTGAGATCGAGCTCCACTCCTTTACACAAAGACAACAAAATTATCACCTCTGAACTTTCCCCTTTCACCCAAAACCAAACCCCCCCCACCACCCCATCCCGAGTTCACCAGAAGACCCCTCCGAATTCAACCTCTATTTAAAAATAAAAAGTTAGAGGACCACGTTTGTGGCACATTATGCTACAATATGGCAGGTTTAAGTGGAAGGATAACATTTAAAGATGAAGAGTTATTGCGTACATTACAAACATTGTTGTATTTGTTTCAAAACAACAGGAAGGGTATGTTGTTGGAAATAACTGACGGTGGTTTACATGTATTTAAACAATGAGTATGAAACAGATACGCTTTACCAATGTTACTAAGATGTTCATATATATATAAACTTCAATAAATTATTTATTTATAGGGCCACTAGTGGGCGTAAAGTGAACTGCAACTCGGTTTATAACTTAAATTATTTACCATCCTAGGGAGGACACAGCTTAGTTTTTTCATTTACATCCATTTTATTGAGCAGGGTTGATTCAAGAGCTTTATATCTATTACAATTATTGCAGATAAACAGCAATGTAGGCTAGAATAACTTTTTTTTTTGCAATAAAGTACAGTAGTGAATATTAGACCATCTACAGACCTAAAGAAAAATACACTCAATATAATACACAATAAGTCTCCACCTTTAAATTAATCCTCAAAACAGATTTAACATTTTTTTGACTAAATCACAATGTTAGGTTTTCTCAAACAATCAAAACAAAGTAGTGCGTTAAGAAAGTCGTCTGCACAGTGCTTCAAATTATTTCGTGTTTGTACATTAGTGTATAGAACATATACTACAAACAACACACACACACACACACACAAAAAAGGAAATAAATTTAAGACATAGTGGAATGCCAATACAGTCAACATGCTGAGGAGATGTTCACAGCAACAGATATGATAAAACACTGCATTTTCAGGGAATATAAGTATGACTTTTGTGTGTTTCTTGTTAATAGTCAGTTTGCCCCTTTGTAAAGCAGCATTTCTGTGAAAGCCTTGTCTTGAACTGTGAACTGGTGTCTTCAGTCTGAGCTGCTGCTGCTGCTGCTGCTGGAGGACTGCAGAGAAAAAGAGAACAATTATTCATAAATGATTAATTTCATTTAAGTTGAATTTAACAAATGCAAAATCTGTAACTCTTAATTTGATTATGTGAAAGGTTGAGAATGACCTATTGTTCACAAAGTAGACAACGTCATAAGAAGTGGAAACATGGTTCTTATCATTTACCTATTTTCAAGGCTCATTGACTACTAATCTATTGTCGTAGGTTGTAATGGATAATGGATTTTTGGATTTCATCTTGCCAACAATTTTTCTCAGAAGATCAAAAGGAGGTGTTGAATTTGTATGTTTTCAGTTTGTTGTTTTTCCCTGTATTAAGCTTAATGTATGTATTTTTTCCAAGGCAATAAAATAAACATTTCCCTTATTTAGCAGAGACTTTTATCCAAACCAACTTGAAATAAGTGCATATAAACTTGGTGGGAACAAGAGTTAACTGTGTTCACAATGTTACTGTCCGCATGGTTTGGGTTCTTCTTTTAAGAATTGAGATGTAAGTGAGTGCTTATATGAGTGTATGTATGTATGTGTGAAGATGTAGTCTAAAAAATTGGATTTACAGCCACTCCCACCCAGATAACTGTCTCTTTTCAGGCTCAACTATATTCAGCAATTTCAAGCCAGTCTAACCTCACCCCAATTAACGAGAACCAGAACAGAGCTCAGCTGACCCTGTGAAAGTCCACTGGTTTCTAATGGGGCTTTTGCTTAGTTATACTTGAGAGTTTAAGATGAGTTAAAGATAAGTTTTCCCGTAGATGTCACACTGTCTCTTAAACCAACTATTGTATCCTAAAATTTAATGCACAGCTGTGTTTACAAACCCTCTTTATACTCTTGTATAAATCTCCCAGCTGCCTTTAGAGGTCACTGTATCAGTGGGTCTAAAGCTGATGCCGATTTGAACTATAGTACTTTATATTATTTTAGCATGGAAAAAATATCATTCAACCTGTATTGTGTTATGTAGCATACTAAGTGTGAACTAAATGTTTCACATTATTAAAGTCATTTTTAAAAGCAAACACAGTAACTAATTAACTGAAAAAACTGCACAGTCACTGTAAAATGAAACTGCAGCTAATGTTTGTATGTATGTGTTTAAGTCATGAAAGCATCAGTCTTAACTGAATCTATTTAAATCCACATGTAGATCTAAGATAGTCAAATGCACACTGACAGAGCAAGGCTAACATTTCTTGCAGTGATGCATATTGCCACCGATGTTGTGAGGTGTTTATGTGGTAAACTCAAGGTATTTATGAATCAATTACTAAAATGTAATATAGTTTCATGTTGTCTTTTATTTCTCTAATTCTTCCTGTAAATGTTTACCCAAAGCAGAAATATTTAAGTAGAGCTGAAACAATTAATCAATTAGCTGATTGACAAATGAGAATAAATAATATGTAACTAGATAAATTCAATACCTTAATGCCTTTAATACCTTTTAAGCCTTTTAATAGTCTTAAAGTAGAAAAATGAGTAGTTTGTGGTTTGACGGACTAATCAACAATAAAAACTGAAGTAGTTCAGCACTTTATTTACCACAAAGAATGTAGAGAACAAATAACTTTACTTTCCATAACTACTATTTATAATCTAATTTGTCTGATTTGTCTGTCATTTGTCATATTTAATAATACAGTCTAGTGACTTGTTATTGTTTGTTTTGATGTGCCATGAAACCTTAATTATAAAAGTCTATATCCTTCTTCAACTAGCATGTAAACCATTTTGATTCCCGACAGTTCTGTGTCACTTTAGCTCTGATGCACTTTGCACTCGTAGAGTCATGACTGTATTTATATTGCTTGGTGAAGGTGTGGGTTTGCAGCTCTGATGGGGCCTGGTGCTGAGGCACATAGGAGGGTTCAAGTTTCACCTTTTTATCTAGTATTTCCATTAATATTCCACCTGAAGGAGAGGTCCTTTTAACAACTCTTACAAGGTGTATCTTTAAAGTAATCTCACCTTGCCATGTTTGTGTCCCTTGTGAGCTTTCTTCATCTTCTTCTTCATCTTTTTGTTGGCTTTATGTCCAACCACCCCCATTCCCATTCCTGCCACTCCTCCGGCTAATGCTCCGGTCATGGGATTTAGCCCTCCATGATGATGGCCCTTGTCGTGGCCTTTGTGGTGGCCTTTGTGGTGACCCCCTTTTGGAGAGTGTGGGTATGGACCTGGGTATGGACCTGGGTGAACACCTGCAGGCGGGACTCCTGGAGCCATAGGATAAGGATAAGGTCCTGGAGCTCCGTACGGCATCGCCCCTGGAGGTGCATTTGGTACCATGGCTGGGTTCATACCAGCTGGGAACTGGCCGGCTGGGTACTGGCCAGCTGGGTAAGCTGGAGGTGGAGGTTGGGGGAAGACTCCTGGTGCAGGTGCACCAGGATATGCAGGGTTGTAGCCAGGAGGGTAGGCAGGGTTTTGTGTGTCATATGGAGGCGGGGGACCTGATATACATGAAAGCACAAATACACACACCTTATTATTCAGAACACCTATATTATAAAACTGGATAGAAAACTGCATAACTGCATCAATTATATGCTGGTTACTTATGATATCCCACCTTGATTTGGCCACATGGTTGTTTTTTTGACCTGACAAGTCAAACGTTCGCACAAAATCCTGGGGAAACAGTGAGACAGTAAATACAATGAATATTTTATAAAGTAAAATTACATGACAGAAACTTTTAATAATATTTAATCATATAATTAGGTAAATAATTTTTTTTTTAATGTCATAATTTTTTTTTTCAATTCTTTGGTTTCTGATCCGACATAATATCTATATATAGCTGTTTTTTATATACAGTGTATTTTAAATTTGCTCTAAACTGGGATTTTATTGGTTGCATTAAGAATTATTGTGTAATATACACACTTAGCCACATAAAGTGCACATAAAACAAATTTGATCTGATACACCATTAGTGATTAAGGTGACCTTACTTTGTTTAAACAGTACTTTAAACACAAACTATACCTCCTGCGAACATTATTTAGTCATTACATGAAGGCACCTATCACAGGTTGTGAGATGTGTAACATAATGTTTAAATAGTGGTCTAATGCCTCAACAACCAGTCATTTCTCAACACTTTCTCCATTTAACCCTTCATTATATTACAGGTAGCCTATGACAGAAATCATAATAGGTCTGAATCATCGGACAGCTTGTTTTTTTTTAAACACACTTACAATCACTGTTAGTCAATGCCTAGATTTCACAGACTTACCTTAGAAACTTGCCTCGGTCCGTTAAAGTTTGTCAAGAATCCTCATCCCCTGTTTGTCTTCCGCATTAAGCTGCACGGAAGTAGCAAAAAAAAAAAAATGCACCAGCAAGCCACGCCCGTTGTTAAAGGCCACGCACATTGCTGGCAGAAGTCCAGTGAGCTTTGGATGAAAAGTTTATCTGCGTGTTTCTGTGGTACAGACCATGAGTGACGTTTGCACCATCGTAACCATGGTAACCATTGTAAGTTATACTTTAAATGGGAGGGGTTTGCTCATGACACACACAGACACACCTGACTTGATGCTGACTCATACCCATTGACAGTATAGCTGTTACCCCTTAGTCACACATAATGGATCAGTTGTTATGTAAACAATAGGCACACAAAACAGGGTTTTCTAGAGCTTTAATTCATTTCTTTTTGGACAGAAACAACAAGGACATTAACCAAAATAATTCAAAACCATTTTTTTTTACACAAATACCAACAGGCTTTTTTTCACAGTTGTTACTATTAATATCAGCGATGGCTCTGTTCTATTAGAGTGTAAGTAATGAGAGTGTGACAGTGAGCCAACATGCACAACAGCAAGATTTCAAAGCAGCTAAATGGAATTCAGCCATCATTCATACTATCTCCACCTGGTTTTTATGCTCCAACAAGTCAAAATGTCTGATGTGAAAATATCTATTACATTAGGTTTAAATAGTAGTTATATCTGTTTTTAAACTTATTTTAAACACAAAACTAAAATCATTTATCATAGTTACATAAAATTAGAATAGGAAAGCAATACAAACAAACACACTCATTGCTGAGAGTGAAGTAAAACATCTTAATCTCCCTCCCAACAATAATTCCCATTACGCCATTATGAAATTTTCTTCTGTGGATTACAATCCATTAACCCAATTGTAGTTATCCAATAGAAAGAAAGAGAGTCAAGCCAAGGAGCAATTTATACAGTTGAAATTGATGAAAATATGCTAAAAAAGCTAAACAGTAGTCACACAAAGATAGCGGTGCAAATCCTTGATATGTTGATTACAACAAGTCAACCTGAAAAAAACATTAAAGTCATGTAGAGTAACAAGACTGTAGAGAGACTAATCTGTTCACAACACACTGGGCGGTCAGTCGGGCATCCGGTTCACAGTCCCAACAATCTGTCAGGATCTGCTCCAGCGCAAATCCCTGAAAGTTGTGAAAATGTAGTCATTACATTGACAAACACAGTTCACTTTAATCAGTATTTTTATGACCTATCCAGGACATTTATTTTCATTGCTACCTAACCAATAAAAGAAAACTGTATGTTCAGGCCAGAAGCAGGCAAGAATACCTGTGGTAGCAGTTCCCAGTGTTTAGGTATGGAGGGTCTCTTGTCCATGTGAAGCACGTACTGGATGATGCTCTCCAGTGTTACATTGGCTCCCAGCTCATATTCATAAGGCAACAGATGCTTTGGAACAGCACCGCCTACAAATGGAGACATTTGTATGTAACAGTGTTCAGAATTCAGAATTGTTAGATCTAAAGTGAGTTTCTCTGGATAACAGCAGCAATTTGGAATTACTGATAACTTTCAGGATTATTCGGGCTAAATCAGAGGTGGTAGTGGAAAGGAAGATGTTACACAAATGGTCAAACAGCATGCATAATGTCTCACAAATGGCACCATTACTGTAGCAAAACTATTTACAAATGAGACCAGAGTTGTGTGACTGTGTATGTAAACAGATTTATAAATGTGTAACAATCTCTAAAAGTGTACTGAGATTTATGTATGTGTAAAGGAATCTGCAAATGTGTATTCAGAATCCGTGTATGCGTTATCAGATTTAAAAAAAAAAGAAATCTCCAAATTTGTATTCAGATACGCAAATCTGAACTCTCTGCTCACATTTGTTTCTCTCCACAACCCACTTGTCGAACAGTGGAGCTCCTTCAGTAGGAGACTTATTCAGCTCCTTTGTGACAAGGAATGCTACAGGAAGTCATTTCTGTCAGCTGCTATCGCACTAATATCCTCTGCTGCTCTAGACAGGGAGCTCCTCTGGCAGTGAACGCCTCATATAACTAGAACAGACAGCTCACCTGGAATTTAAAGATTACATACATTTATTGCACTGCTTTTCTTTCTTTCTTTTTTCATTTTAACCTTCATAACATTCTCACCTGGCTTTTCATTTTGTTTTATTTGTGTGCATGATGTTGTATTGTCCTGTCTGAATCTTTATGCTGCTGTCCTCGCCAGGTCTCCCTTGCAAAAGAGGTTTCCAACCATAGTGGGACTTGGTAAATACATTTTAAATATAATTTAAAAAACAAAACAATTTATTGTATTTTATATTTTATTTAGTCTATTTTAGTTATTCTATGTCTTAGTTAAGTATGTATGTATGTGTATGTATCCATCCAAGGATGGAAGTTTACCTTCAAATAAATCCGAGCAGCACATCCAGATCTCCCACAGCAGCAGTGCAAAAGCATAGATGTCCCCCTGCAGGAAACACGAGGTACTTCTCAAGTCTACAGATCCCTCCAGGAACTCAGGGGACATGTAACGGAGCCTGCCCAACTGAGCAAGACCCTGCAGATGGACAGAAATGTGAAGTGATTGTTTTAGTGTATATATTTGATGTTGCCACTCTCTTCCTTGGATTATCATTATTATTTTCTAATGGTATGGTTTTTATTTATCTGTACCGTACTATAGGACACTGTAACATCCTCTACCATCATCACCAACACCGGAGCCCCACAAGGTTGTGTCCTGAGTGACTTCCTGTTTACTTTCTACACCAATGACTGCTATCAGCCCCTCACCTATCACCACATACACCAATCAGCCATAACATTATGACCACCAGGTGAATATCACTGATTATCTGGTTATCATGGTACCCATCAGTGGGTGGGATATATTAGACAGCAAGTTAGTATTTTGTCCTCAAACTTGATGTTTTAGAAGCGGTGAGGATTTGATCAACTTTGACAAGGGCCAAATTGTGATGGTTAGACGACTGGG